CCAACCCTAAAAAAGGAAATACGGGCCTACTCCGGGTCCTAGAAAAGGTTCGAAGGTTCGGAACTTCAGCTTTCTGCCCTAAAGCTGCAGGCCTGAAAGCATCACTCACAACCGCCAAACTGCATGATCACCAGACCTGCAAACACCGAAAACATGACCCCAAGTTTACAACAAAAGCTACACCTACCTAAAACTCCCAAATCTCACTGTCCACGCCTTCTGCAACCCTGCCGCAAAACCCGAAGCCCATGCCACGCCTTGGGCTTCTCTGGCGCGGAGCCCTGCCATGCCGAAGGCGCAAAACCCAAGAAAGGAGCCGAGGCATTAGGGTTCGTGGTCCAGGAACTTCCGGGCGCAGGGTCGAGGGACTGTAGGGCCTTTAGGGTTGAGGGTTTGGGAGTTTCGGGTTTAGGGTTTAGGGTTTAGGGTTTAGGGAGTTTAGGGTTTAGGGTTTCGGGTTTAGGGTTTAGGGTTTAGGGTTGAGGGTTTGGGAGTTTAGGGTTCTTGTGCAGGGCTGCAGTCAGGCTCCAGAGATGTTTCACAAACGCCTTAAACCTTACATGGAGGCCTGAGTAATTAAATAACACCGAGCTTTTCTGGGTCGATACCATTGTTATATTAGCAAACCCAGAGGCTTCTAGAGGTGTCTATAATCATTTGCTGTCTGTGTTAGAAACCAGTCTGTAGGAGCCTGATTTATCAGGGAGGCCTCGAGGTACATGCTCCTACAGCTACATACTCAGGAAGTACTTGTATCAGGCCGCTATCTTCGCCAAATGCTTCATACCCCAGTTGCAGCAAACCCTAAACCGTAAACCCTAAACCCTAAACCCTGCACCTCGGGCTTGCAGGAGTCGATGATGCTCTGCAGCTCCTTGTTCTGAATCCTGAGCTTACGGTGTCAAGGGCTTCCTGGATAGGTCTTAAATGGACCTAGGGTTTAGGGTTTAGGGGTTTAGGGGTTCGGGTTTAAGGTTTAGGGTTTAGGGTTTAGGGTCTAGGGTTTAGGGGTTTAGGGTTTAGGGTTTGGGGGTTTGGGAGTTTAGGGTTTTGTAGTCTGACGCAGCTTAAGCCCCTGACATGTATACGTCAATAACATCAACCTGAATACTTGGAGCATCATGGGACTTAGTGAGTAAGGCAATAAGTACCCTAATTGGGGTTATAATTATAGTTACCTTATTTATACCCTAGTTACTAAGTCCCATGATCCTCCAAGTAAGAGCCCTTTGCCCTCCAAGAGCAAGTCAGCAAACCCCCGAGCAATCTCCAGACGCCCGCAGAACCCTTTCCGATTTGCAAACCCCCTGCACTCTTGAACCCTATCCCTCAACTCCAAACTCTAAACCCTAAACTCTACACCCCAAACTCCCTAAACCCCAAACTCCCTACACCCCAAAACCCTAAAGCCCAAAGACCCTAAACCCCAAAACCCTACACCCCAAAACCCGAAACCCCAAGGCCAAAACCAACAAATCGCCAAGCCAGGGCCGCAAGCCCGGGGCTCCGACCACGGACGCCCCACCAAAGCCCCGAAGCAACGAAGGACCACTCCTATACCCTACCTTAAGAACCCAAAACCTACCTTTTTTGTAGGGTCCCTATAAATCCCATATCAGGGTTTATAATAAGAACCTACAAAAAAGTGGGTTTTGGGTTCTTAAGGTAAACCCTAAAACCGAAACCCCGAACACAATACGAAAATTTGGTGGACTAAAACACCCGATGCCCTCTGAGCCCCCGGGCTCCATGGATTCGATGTCCCGGTTCCTGAGATCGTTCGGGATCTAAGACTTTGGGCACGTGAGGGGTTGGGCCTTTCCCCAAAAGTTGCTTTTTAAGGCTCCTTTTACACCCTAAACCCTAAACCCTAAACTCTAAACCCTAAACCCTAAACCCTAAACCCTAGAAAAGGGCCTTTAAGGTTCACTTCGCTTGGCCATCTCGGGTGGGTTGGGGAGGGTCGGTTCTTGAAGTTCTAGGATCCTACTGTTTTGGAGGGTCTGGTGGAGTTGGGGAACAGGGTTTAGGGTTTAGGGTTTAGGGTTTAAGGTTTAGGGTTTAGGGTTTAGGGTTTAGGGTTTAAGGTTTAGGGTTTAGGGTTTAGGGTTTAGGGTGCAGGGTTTAGGGTTGCCGTTCCTGTCCTCAAGCCGGGGTAACTGCTTTTGGGCATGGTCCTAAACCCTCACGGGCTTAGGGGTTTAGGGGTTTAGGGGTCTAGGGGTTTAGGGGTTTAGGGTTTGGGGGTTTAGGGGTTTGGGGGTTTAGGGTTTAGGGTTTAGGGGTTTGGGGGTTTAGGGGTTTATTGGTTAGGGCCCTCATTTCAGGAAAACTACTTCAGCCTCGTACAAGTGAGGCTGCTTGCAAAGCCTTGTTCTTCCCTATGGGCAAACCCTAAAAACCCTAAACCCTAAACCCTAAACCCTCAAGCCTAGACCCTAAACCCTGAAACCCAAACCCTAAGCCCCAAACTAAACCCTAAACCCTGAAACCGAAACCCCAAGCCGAATGAGAACGACCCTGATCCGTTCGGCTCCCTTCGCGACGTGATCTCCCATGGCCCACGCCGAGTCGATTCTTGGGGCCTTCTTTTGCCTCCAGGGCTCCTAAAACGCCCTAAACCCTTGGGGGTTTAGGGGTTTGGGGGTTTAGGGGTTTTAGGGGTTTAGGGGTTCAGGGGTTTAAGGGGTCTAAGGGGTTTAAGGGGTTTAAGGGGTTAAGGGGTTTAAGGGGTTTAAGGGGTTTACGGGGTTTAAGGGGTTTAAGGGGTTTAGGGGTTTAAGGGGTTTAAGGGCTTTAGGGTTTAGGGTTTAGGGTGCCCTAAACCATGAAAGGAAAGCTCCGCAGAATGCAGTCGAAGCTCTGTTGGTTCACGTAGGTCAGCAAGCTGAAGTTGCGCTGCTCTAAGCTGACGAAGATCTTCACAATCTCCTAGGGTTTAGGGCTTAGGGTTTTGGGGTTTCTTTTCAGGTTTGTTGTGTTGTTTAGGGTTTATGGTTTTGGGGCGTTCTTTTTAGGGTTTGTTGTTTAGGGTGGGGCAGATGATCATCTGCTGCCACGCATTACATGACCACGAACATTGCTGATGACAGCGCTAACGACGATAGTAGCCACTTTGCATTCTGAGCGTAATCGCAATCAAGACCATCATCTTATTTCCCACAAGTAGAAGAGACTCATCTGCACGGATTGCGCGGGCTTCAAGATCCAGGGTGGAGTGGTTGGGCAGTTCAGGTTAAGTCTTGCCTTGAGGGCTTAGAAGTTCGAATTCCGGCGGTTGAGTTGGGGTCGGAGTTTGAGGTCTGAGGTGACGTACCTTGGGACATTTCGGGCCGGATCAGATGGGAGCTTGGCGACTTGCTCAGCTATGGTGGGTGACCTGGGACAGCTGTCCGCAATCCTCTGGTCTGCCCAACTTCCCCGAGAATCCTGTGCCTTTTTGTTGAAACCAGAAAACCATACATCCCAAAACTCATGCTTGTGCACCCCTCAGCTCCTGAATTTCTGGAGGGTTGTGGTCTCAGAACCCCAGGCAAATACTTCTCGGCCTGAAGGTTTCAGCAGGTCACAAGCAGGGCTCCTCAATGTCGCTGATTCCGGTCGTGGACTTAATCGTTGCGAAGGCCTCTGCCAAGGCAAGTGCGAAGGCTCAGGTAGGGCTCCTAGAAAGTCACTGTGACGCTCCGGCATACCATGCTAAGCAGCGACGCAACGAGCTCCGGCTCACTTCGTAGCAGATGCTACTAGCAGCGTGGCCTGCTCGAAGACCTCGATGTTCTTCATGTGCTGCTTTATATGCCTGCTGCGGGTACTGCTCAACCGCAACACCCCGAAATTTCGAACCCATAGCAAGCACGAGCTTCATTACGGATGGAAAAATGACTTTCATCCATCGTCACCCCGATCACTGTCCACATCACCTGCATCATCGCCAAGACTGTCATCATGCGCACCGGGTGGCCTGCGCTGGATGGTATTCAGGAAGCACACCTTCAAGATGCGCTGGTGCATTGCGGTCTCCGAGAAGGCCTCTTCCTGTCAGAGGGTGGCGAGTCTCCAGCTTCTGGTGAGGGCTACAAGGTTCAGGGTTTAGGGTTTAGGGTTTAGGGTTTAGGGTTTAGGGTTTAGGGTTTAGGGTTTAGGATCAACAGCTGCAAATTGGCAGGGCTCCCACTTCTAGCGCTCTACTTCGAGTGATGAAGGCTGAAGACTACGCAAATCCGTAAGCGCTAGAACTCCTAATCGCACACCAAGAACACAAACCCAGAGTGCCCAATACCCCTTAATTAAGGAATATACCTTAGGTCATAAGATCAAGGCCCCTATAGTTTAAGGTATATTCCTTGTTCAAGGGGTATTGGAGTCTCTGGGAACACAAACCGGGCCTCATCGGCCACCATGTAGTTCTTGCGGCGGGCCGCGGCACTCCTGGGCCCGCTGGGCTCCGCATCGCAAGATAGTAAGGTTCCAACTCAACTTAGGGTTTAGGGTTTAGGGTTTAGGGTTTAGGGTTCAGGGTTCAGGGTTTAGGGTTTAGGGTTTAGGGTATAGGGTTTAGGGTTTACAGTAGGGCCCTGAACCCTAAACCCTGAACCCTAAATCCCCAAAACCCCACACCCAAACATCTCCTGAACCCCAAGGACCGGACAACAACGAATCCAGAAACAAAGCCCACAGACCCAGCTAAAAAACCTTCAACCCTAAACCATAAACTTCAACCCTTATAAACCCTAAAACCCTAAACCTTAAACCATAAATCTTAACCCTTACAAACCCTAAAACCCTGAACCTTAAACCATAAACCCTATAACCCTCACATCTTACAGCCTCATAGAAGGAGCCCAGAGAGCCCAATACCCCCTAATTAAGGAATCTACCATAAATCATAAAATTTAAGGTCCCCATAGTTTAAGGCCTAAACCCTAAACCCTAAACCCTAAACCCTAAACCCTTATAGAACCTTTTTAAAGGCCCCTAGAATTTGAGGTCTATTCCTAAACCCTAAACCCTAAACCCTTATAGATCCCTTTAAAGGCCCCTAGAATTTGAGGTCTATTCCTTTATTTAAGGGGTAAGTTGGGCTCCCCGGGGAGCGCTTCGAAGTCTCTCGGGCACCCGGGCCCGCCCGCGCCAGGGCTCCCGTTCGCCCGGCTCCTCAGCCGAAGCTCTGGGGGTTCGGGCTTTGTATGGGGGTTTAGGGTTTAGGGTTTAGGGTTTAGGGTTTAGGGTTTAGGGTTTAGGGTTTAGGGTTTATGGTATAAGGTTTAGGGTTCAGGGTTTAGGGTTTAGGGTTTAGGGTTTAGGGTTTAGGGTTTAGGGTTTGGTAACTATAATTATAACTCCAATTAGGTTGCTTACAACCTTACTTACTAAGTCCCATGATCCTCCAAGTAGGGCCTTCAGAATTAGAATAGGGTTTGGGGGTTCCTTTTAAGGGTTCCTTAAGGTGTTCTAGAAGGATTCGGGTCGAAGGCTTCAGAATTTATTGTATAGGGCTTCAGAGTTTGGTGTTTAGGGTTGAGGGTTTTGGATTCAGGGTTTAGGGTTTAGGGTTTAGGGTTTAGGGTTTGGGGGTGGAGGATTCAGTGTGTAGGGTGGAAGGTTTTGGGGTGTTGGGTTTTTTCGGGTGGGGCTTGGGGTTTTGAGCCTTGTGGGTTCTCGAAGCCCTTTAGGAGATTTTTCTTTGACCCCACAAGCCCTCATCAGCGAAGCCTTGACACCCTGCAAAATCCTAACAACTGTATGCAAACCCAACGAAACCCTTTTACTCCCAAACCCTAAGCTCTCCCGAACCCTAAACTCTCCCAAATCCTAAACCCTCCCAAACCCTAAACTCTCGCCATGGCCCGACATCTTGAGGCTCTGACAGGAGCTCCTGCTCCCGGGCCTGGTTTGGGGTTTGGGCAGGGGCTTAAAAGGAATCCTGCAAGGGCTCTACACTACCACAGAGGCCTCAATAATTACCTATACTATTTTGGGGGTTCCTTATTACAAATATAAGATAACGGATCCCAAAACCCTTTTCTAATTATTACGGCCCCTTTATATTTCACGAATTCCCAGGGTTGCTTTATATGAGGCTTTAGGGAAGGGGCTGTGGGTCTTGAGAGCTTGAAGGCATTGGGTTTAGGATTCAGGTCTCGATGCTTGGGGCTTAAGGCTTTGGGCATAGCTTTTCGGGAGTACGGCATAGACCCCCATCCCGTGACCCTGAAGCCTAAACATTGAAGAACCCGTGTAGAACCCTTATATAAAACACGTTAAAGGAACCCTACGGGTAGGGAACTGTTGTTGTGCTGGAATCTGCCGCAGCTGGTCCCGAGGCAAGAGCCTGAACCTCCACCCCAAACCAACCACCACGCCTCGGTAATGTAGCCAACCCCAACGCTGTGAGGAGACAGAGCCCCTTCAGCCACAGCCCCAAGCCACACACACAAACACAGTGACTGAACCACGAAGTAGTAAGAATATCTCCGCAAAGGTCCCAGGCAGTCACATTATTCTGCACCCTTATTGTCCCCCTGTGCTTATACTAACTTAGAATATACTGTCCCCTTCTGTTCTCATGTACCCATGTCGGACCCCTTCAAAGCAGGTGACCCCTGACAACTTGAAGTCATCCCAAGATAAAAAGACCCCACAGACCGTGCCTTCTTGTTCTGCTCGTTGATCTGCCTTTTCAGCTCCTCTGGCTTGGAGCTCATAGAGTTTTAGAAGTCTATGAGGGAGCTCAGAGGTGCATGGTCATGGGATCTTTCTACTTGGCTCCTTCAGGACCTGTTGGCAGAACGCGAACTGCAATGTGGTCGATGGGTTTTGGGGTTTAGGGCTTTTGATTTTGGGCTTTTAGGGCTTGTGATTTTGGGGTTTAAACGTTTAAACCCTAAACCCTAAACCCTTAACTTTAAGGCTTTTGATTTTTGGGGTTTAGTGCAGCCTCCGTCTGCTGCAGAAAGCTCCGCCGCTTCTTCTCCAGGGCCTTACCTGGCGGAAGGTTTAAGTTTCAGGGTTTAGGGTTTAGGGTTTAGGGTTTAGGGTTCCCTAAACCCTAAACCCTAACCCCAAACCCGGGAAGGGTTTCAGGAATCAGGGACAATCGCGGGCTAAGGGTTTACAGGTTTGAAGGACCCGTTTTAGGGCTTCAGGGGTTATAGGGTGCGTGGAGATGCGTTGCTTCAGAGGTTTCTGGCTTCAATGATTGTTTACCATAGAGCTCGGAGTTTAGGGGTTTTCCCTGGGAGATTTAGAACTTCAGCTCTCAGATCTTCCCGAAACCGTCTTTTTGAAGGCTCTGTTCCGTCTGCTAGCTCAGCAAGGTAGCGACAAAGATGTGAGGCACCCGATGTTGAAAAACAAACATCAGCAAACCCTTCAGCCAGACTGAGGATTTAGAGTTAGACTTGGGGTACCAAGTTGCAGCTAATGCCGTTGGCCATGGCTTCCCCGATCAAAGCGTTCTGGGGTGCAGAGCTCAGGCTTTGGGGTAAGGCGTCAGGGAAATTGTACCAAGCAAAACCGCTCAAACCACGCGGCTTTCAGGATATACACTAAGACTACAACAGATCACGACAACACTGCTATGTAGCAACAGCAATCCCAGAACCAACAATACCCCCAAACCCCTGACCCTAAACCATCAACCCTAAACCCTAAACCCTAGAACCGTGGCTTGGGGCACTCGACGCTTGGCAGTTCTGCAACTTCTTGTCGAGGTCAGACCTGATTTGCGGCGCCCAAGGAAGTCTTCGCGAATGCGGCGAAAGTTGTTCAAGGCCTTGTGGGGCTTAAAGTTCAAGGTTCAATTTTAAAGGTTCAAATGTTTGGGTTAAACCCTAAAGCCTAAAAGCTAAACCCTAAACCCATCTAGCTTTTGGGGCTTTAGGATTGGGGATTGGGGGGATCAGGATTGAGGGCTTCGGGCGCTTGGGGTCACGAAAACTGAGACTCGCCTATCACAGCCAGCAAACAGGCAGAGCGATGGCAAGATTTTCCCTAAACCCTAAACCCTAAACCCTAAACCCTAAACCCCTACAAACCCTCGAGGAACCCTAACCGTGAACCTTTGCATGCACCCTCCACGCTACACCCTGCACTCGAGACAACATCTCTCTCGAGGCTCTACTTCCGCCAGCCTCCGAACTCCACTTGCAGCCCTAAACCCAAGAGGATCATGGGACTTAGTTAGTAAGGGTTTAGGGTTTAGGGTTCAGGGTTTAGAGTTATAAGTACCCTAATTGGGGCTATAGTTATAGTTACCTTATTTATAACCCTAGTCTGAGTTTAGGGTTTAGGGTTTAGGGTTTAGGATTATGGGGTGGAGCGGTTCTCCCGAAAGTCAGGAGCATTTGCGGATAAGACCCAGCTCTCAGCTGTGGTATTCGACTTCGGTTCTGGCATCGGGCTTACTTGGAGGATCATGGGACTTAGTAAGTAGGGTTATAAATAAGGTAACTAGAATTATAACCCCAATTAGGGTACTTATAACCTTACTTACTAAGTCCCATGATCCTCCAAGTGTCCTGGGAGGGACTTTTCTAGGCTCCACGATGCTGCCAAAACCGTCTCTTGTACATGGGTTGCGCAATACTTTCGACAAGGCAATGACCTGCCGAAAACCATGGGGTGTGGCTTGAACTGTCGGAAAAGTGAAATGGCCTGGAAAACAACTGGCAAGACCCCCAAGACCAGATCTCTTCAGCTGCCTGTTTGCGACGATGTCCTGGTTGGCTAGTTCTATGTCCTTGGCTGGTGCAACCACAAGCCCAGGCAATCCGTGTGGAAATGAGCAACGTCGGTGGACCGATCAAGCCACATGTGACAGTCAACAACAGTCATCGCCGTCACCATTACTGGCATCATCGACGTCATCATGATCGCCATGATCACGAACAGCATCGGCATCGTTAACACTACATTCTCCTTGTCATCATCACCACCCTCATCAGAAACAGCAGTGGCAGCCGCCGCCTCAGCCTGCCTGTCCTTCTCTCATCATCACTATCACCATAGCCATCACGGACAGCTACAACATCCCGTCGACGACGACGACGACGACAGAAGCAGCAACGGCGACAGCTACAGCTACAGCAATGACAGCAACGAAAAAGAAGAAGATGATGAAGAAGAACACCAAGGACTGCCCTGGCATCGGGTAAAGCATGCAAATCTCATCTGAGCATAGGTCCTTCCGGTTGATGCGGATGGAGTCCTGCATCTTCCTGCAAACAACAAGCATCAAAGTGACCCGAATGAAACCTGCGACCTCCGTTCCCCATCGAGTCCGGCATTCTGCATGGGGTTTAAGGTATAGGGTTTAGGGTCTAGGGTTCCAAGCCCCCAACAGCAAGTCCATTAAACCTCCAGCCTCCTGAGGCCTAAGCCTCAAACCTTCATCCCTACACCCCAACATCCTGAAACCCTGTGAGAACCCTCTACAACCCCTTAAAGCATCTTCTAAAGCCCCCATAAGGTCCCCATTAAGCGCCCTACAGAAGCCTTGCCATGAACCCCCCCAAAAAACTTGCTGGCACCATGCGTCGGGCCTGAACACCTGGTCCAGCAGCTGCCTCTCCTTCCGCAGCTGGTCGATCTGCGCGCGCAGCCTGGGCGCCGGGCTTTGCACTTCAACACTGCGAGGCTCTCGGGCCGAGAGTTCCTAATCTGATGAAATGCAGGCGAGGAAAAGGCCCCCTGAAACTTAATCAAGCATGATAGAACCTCCTATCCTACAGCATGACAGAATATGCTGGGGTGCTTAGGGCCGATGGGCGGTTTATAGGCCATGCTGTTTACTTGGAGGATCATGGGACTTAGTAACTAGGCTTATGAATAAGGTAACTATAATTATAACCCCAATTAGGGTACTTATAACCTTACTTACTAAGTCCCATGAACCTCCAAGTATAAATCCCAGAAAACTTCACAATCTCCCCTAAACCCAAAACCCTAAACCCTAAAGCCCTA